GATGGATTGACATGGTGGCTGCGATGATGGGCTCGAGTATAGCAGGGATTGTGGGGCTGGCGCGGGATCGGGCAGTGTTTCGTTCTGCTGTGCGTGGGGTCGCTATGAGTCAGAAACAACTCGACGGCACTTAACAACAACAACAACAACAGTTCTGCCTGTAAAAACTTCCAAAGAACCCCCTTTCTTTTGCTGCCCCCTTCTCTGACTTTGCAAGAAGTTTAACTTTGGCCATATGCTTACCCAAAAGACTCGGGATCCTGGGCTAAAGAAGTCAAACAGCAGGTAGTTGTTATGTCACTAATGTCATGGAACAATTTGGTGGAACTTGTCAAACAGGAACCTAACTTGCTGTGTAAACTTTCACCAAAAGCTCAATAAAATAGTATTACTTTTTTTTTTGAAAAAAGAAGAATAAGTGGTGGGAAAAAAACACCAAAGCATACAGTATATAGTGGTCTGATATGTGTTATATTCAACAACTTTTCATTTATCTCATTGAATTCCTCTTTTTTCCAATTTAGGCAAAGGTTATAGTAAAATATAACATCTGTCACATGTTTGGTTTATCAAATAAGAGTGGCTGTGCTTCGGAATCTAGTTCACGTTATCTTCTGTGCATAATATGTTCTGGTTTGTTCACTAAGAAGTTACCAATCACACCAGAGAAACAAACACGGAAATCTTGTCCATATAAATAGACCCACCATTAATAGAAGCGTAACTCATTCATACGCTAAATGGGTTATAAAGAAACAGCATATTATGTGTAATTAAAATAGAGATAAATATATCCTTCCATGGATAAATACATAATATTCAAAATTTCATAGTAAACAAATATACTTCTAAGTGAGGATTTTCCCATATTTCTAATTAAGATAATGTTCAGTATACCTTATAATCAGCTTTTAATTTTGACTTCCTTTTTTTGAAGGGGTAAATGTGGTTGCTGCAAGGAACTCTGGTAGTGTAGTGGTTAAGGCATTTGGCTACTAATCAAAATATCTGTGGTTTGAACCCACCAGCCACTCTGTGGGAGGAAGAGGTGGCAGTCTGCTTCCCTGAAGATTTAAAGCCTTAGAAACCTTATAGGGCAGTTTTACTCTGTCTTATCGGGTGAGTTAGAATCAACTTGATGGTGGTGGGTGGGTGGGTATAGCTGCTGCAGATTCCTTCTTTTAAACAATTCTCTCCTTAGACACACCTCTTTCTGGGATATGTCAAGATAATCTGCCACACTAAAGCAGCAACTTTCAGGAAGGTACATGAGAGAGGTATGCCCTTCCTCCTATACCCCAGCTCCCACTTTTTTTTTTTTAGTTTGAAGTTGTAATGTCAAAATATAAAGTCTTGTTAGGTCTGAAAATAATCCATCTACACAATAAAGAATCTTTATGATGTAAAACATTAGTTCTTTGTCAATGGTTGTATTTGTCCATCTTCATCTGCTGTTACCAGCTGTCAAGATCTTCTTTAAAGGTCGGTTTTTTCTTTGTAGCGACACCAGCATGCGGCTCTTTGGCTGTCCAGGTATGGTTTACAGCCTAAATGTATAACACTGTCAAATAAGAGCTCCACTGTTGTTTCACAGGCTGCAAAGTAACAAAATGCTATTACTGTTGGGCAACTGCAATGCATCTCTCTCTTCACATACACTCACATGTTATATAGCACGGCATCAAGCACATCCCTAGTGGCTCTCAGGTGTAGACCAGGGAAAAGGCATCCCAAGCCCTTCGTACCAGTAGCAAATCTACACACAGTCTTTAAGTTTTAGTCTTTTTACCATGTATCTTACTTGTTTACATTCAATTGCTCCACCTAATTTTTTGTACTAGACATATGGTAGTTTCTCTCAACAGTACTTATCAGTTAATCAGTATTAACTTTCCTTTTACCTGAAAAATACAGTAGAGATGCCAGATAACACTATTAAATTTTCAGTTCAAAAAAAGATGATGTTGGTGCAGAAGAAATGAAGGGTAAAAAAAAAAGCTGAAAACATTTATTCATGGTCAGTGACTTCTCTAAGAATGATCATATCATTTAAAATGCTTAAGGTAAATGCACAACCATACAACCCACTCTCCTTCTTTGACCAATATTCAAATTTGGCTGGCAGGAAGAGGGGTACAGGAGTCAAAGGTGTTTTTCCCCTGGTAGTTTTTTAAATTAAATATTATTATTATTATTATTATTAGGCACTTGACTGCTAACCAGAAGGCTGGAGGTTCAAAACCACCAGCCACTCCTCGGAAGGAAGATGGGGCAATGATACTGCCTCAGAAACCCACGGAGAGGTCGCTATGAGTCGGGTCCGACCCGACGGCACATAACAACACCAACAACATAATTAAAACAAGTACTGGATTTGCTTATTTTACTTTAAGAAACCTAGAATACCCAAGTGGGCTTATCTTAACATGCTACACTTACAGAAATGTAATTTGTCCAGATACCTCCAGTTTCAAATATGTAGATATTCATATTAAAGAAGAAAATTCATTGATTTCATTAAAAAGTCATAACATTTTCAAAGTTCCCCAAAATATTTTGTCATTTAAGGAACATAACCAACTCAAGAAGTATAGAGGTCCGAACTATTACATACAAGAAAACAAAATATATCCATCTATACTTCAGCTGTATAACTAATTTACCTTAGCTAAAAACATGCAAGGGTATAGAGATTGTGAGTTTAAATGTCACCTGGAAAAGAGATGTCTTTCATGACACTTATTACTTGTTGTTGTTGTTGTTATGTGCCACTGAGTTGGCCCCGACTCATAGTAACCCCTCCTTGGGTTTACGAGGCGGTATTACTACGAGGTAGATTGCCCAACCTTCCTTCTGAGGAGTGGCTGGTGGGTTTGAACCGCCAGCCTTCTGGTTAGCAATCAAGTGCTTTTGGCATTATGCTACCAGAGCTCCTACTTATTACTAGGATTTCAAAATCAGATCTATAGTAAGAGTCTATGAAGAATACTATGAAGACACTATAGTGTCTGACTATGGAGTCACACAATCCTAGCCTGAAGGCAAGTATGTGATTTGAGGCATGCTACTTCTTTCTTTGGTAGCATAGTGGCTAAGACACTTGCCTGCTAACCAGACGGCTGGCGGTTCAAACCCACCAGCCACTCCTCGGAAGGAAGGTTGGGCAATCCTACTTCCGTAGTGATACTGCCTCGGAAACCCAAGGAGGGGTCGCTATGAGTCGGGGCCGACTCGATGGCACATAACAACAACAACAACAACAACTTCTTTCTTTACCTTAGTTTCCTTCTTTGAAAAACGAGGATACCACCACCTACCTCGGAGCTCTGGTAGTGCAGTGCTTAAGTCATGTGACTGCTAACCGGAAGGTTGGCAGTTCAAACCCACCAGCTGCTCTGCAGAAGGAAGATTGGCCAATCTACTTCTGTAAAGATTTACTGCTTCAGAAACTCAACGGGGGTCGTCATGAATCAGAATCAACTTGATGACAGTGAATTTGGAGTTTTAACCACTTACCTTATTGGGTGGTTGTGAGCATCATATAAGAACATGCATAAAATATCTAGCACAGTATGTTACAGTAAGTGCCTAAAAATTTTAGTTTCCTTCCTACCCCCTTCCACTGCCCTTCCTCTTCGATTTCAGTGTAAGGTACATTCTTTGGCTTGACAGAGAAATGCTGTAACTCCTAATATATGAATAGTGATTGAAAGTCTAACAATATTTCATTTCACCTTCATGACACCTCTGTGAGGTGGGTATTATCATTCGCCCCATTTTATAAATGAGGACACTAAAGCTCATACATGCTAAGAATTCTGTGTAAGGACACAGAGAGACAAAGTTGAGATCCAAATCTTCTAGAACTTCCTATTATGCTTTATTCTACCCTTAGATTCACTGGACTCAAGGTTTCAAACTTTAGATTTTGAGTAATTAAGAGATACCACAAAGTACAAGGTGGATGAACTCTCCACCTCTCATGCCCTCCCCCTAAGGTTTTCTAATGCTTTTTGCTTCTGGACTACAAACCATTTTAGATTACCTAATCACTGGCTCCTTAATTCAGAAAACTGAAGGGGCAGTGTGACAATAGATAATATATAGAGAATGGTTTCTATTGATCAATCCTATCCTAAAACATAAAAGCATTCAAGAAAACTTTAAAACTGTACTCATCCTTACCCTGAACATGCTGAGCTAGTCCTAGTGTTTTTTGCACATCTCTGCAGATCTTGGAAAGGCAATACTGGAACTCCTCATCACAGTCATTCTTGCTTTTGCCACAGGTCTCGTAGCACCTGTCATGTTGGTTGCAGCACTTTGTCAGGGACGGGATGCCAATGTTAAGCTGAAAGAGGCATTTGGGTGGATTATGGTCAGTGAGACTCAAAACTTCCTGCTGAAATATTGTATTCACAAAGATTTAGAAATAAATGACAAGGACTGCTTTCTAGATAATTTCCAAAATCCATTTGTCTGCAATATTATCCATATTATGAATCTCCCCACTACTCTCATTCAGACCCACCATGTTACTCCTTTTGTTAGCCATGCCTCACTTCTTGCTATTTTACAATGTTGAAATAGTCACAGCTATCTGCCAGTAACAAACACAACTTCCAAGTGTCCAAAGCACAGTTTTAAAAACAAAAAGGTAAGGTTAGTGGCTTTAAAAGATTTCTCTAGGGGGAAAGGCAAGTATAACTTTTGGATATTTCACAGGTTTGGTGTTGTGTTGCCACATCCCCCAAATAAAACATACTTTATCTGTCAGTGGTTCAAAACCACCAGCCACTCTGTGGAAAGGAAGATGGGCGATCTACTTCTGTAAAGATCAGAAACCCAATGGGGATTGCTATGAGTCAGAAACGACTTGATGGCAGTGAGTTTGTTTTTGTTTTTTTTATGCGTAGTATCACTGAAAGCTTTTGAGCTTGTACAACTCAAATTTTTGTTTTGTTTTCAATCTTTAGGTGTTTATCTAGTCACCAGAGATACTATTACTTCAAACCTATAGCTTTCCTTTAATTATTTTAAATAACTTTATACGTAATAAGGAGCTCTAGTAGCATAGTGGATAAAGCATCTGGCTGCTAACCAGAAGGTCAGTGGTTCAAACCCACTAGCCGCTCCGCAGAAAGAAGATGGGGAGATCTACTTCCATAAAGATTTATAGCCTTGGAAACCCAACAGGGGTTGTGCTATGAGTTGGAATTGACTCAATGGCAGTGAGTTTGGTTTTTTTTTTTTTTTTAAATACGTAAAGCCTTATGGCTAGGAATTATTCTCATAAATACTTTTTCTCTGTAATATTTTGCTCAGATCCAGTCTCAGGTACAACAGTCAGCTCTCCCACTTAGGCTAGTTTTAATATAGACAATACTATGTTTTATCTATACCCCTTTTCCCTAAGTATTATTTCTGTATTCTAAATTAAACTTTTAAGCCATGTTTGTCACATTAGAAAATATAATTTAAATGGTATTAACACCCATAAGATTAAAAATAAAACATTAATTTTGTTCTACCTAGTTTTGTTAGGAGTTACTAAATCCAAAATTACCTTTAGCCATAAAAGAAGGTAATAAGCCTGATCATTATTGTTGTTATGTGCTGTCGAGTCAGCCCCAACTCAAAACAACCCCTCCTTGGGTTTCTGAGGCGTTATCACTATGGAAGTAGATTGCCCAACCTTCCTTCCAAGGAGTGGCTGGTGGGTTTGAACTGCCAGCTATAGATCATTATTACAGGACATAAAATTATTATGAGCCTGAGAACATATTGATTGTTTTACATTTTGAAGGTTTGAACTGCCAGCCATAGATCATTATTACAGGACATAAAATTATTATGAGCCTGAGAACATATTGATTGTTTTACATTTTGAAGGTAATGCATAGCTTTCTGGTCATAAAACTTATCAAATAAAAAACAATATTTACGTGAACACCAAACAGCGGGGAGCCACATCCATTCGGTGGAGATGGTTTATATCCGTAACGTGGGTAAGGCTTAGATCCTATAAAATAAAAATAAGATCCTTATTTTTCAAATATAATAGACATACATACTCAAAACAGTTCTACAATGCGCTATTCTAGCCTTGGAAAAACCCAATATGTATTTGGATGTTGACTTAAGTGAATATGTGTCTTTATTCTGGTAGGAACTAAGAATGCTACTTTTGTCTATCTAGTTACTTTTATTTTTCTCATGAGAAGCAATACTATATACAAACATACACCTACATTATAATATAGATGGCAGTTCCTAATAAATAATTTTTATTTGAAAGCCTATGCCATATAAGACATACAAAAGCTTATGCTGGACTTCTGGAGATACCAGAGGTTACACACCAGATTGGAACCAAATACATGAAAGGTAAATCCACCTTGTTTTCCTGCATTCTAACAGTTTGATTTATTTATCTGGTTAAAACCTATAGCACAAGGCCTATATCTTTCCACCCTTCAGCACACCACCAGTGTACAAACCTCAATAACCATTAACTAACAAGTTTACTCAGCTAGAGCCTAAAGCTAAGGAAGACAAAATCATTCAATGATCATTTAATCACCTTAATACTGTTACAAGCCATTATAGAACTACATATTCTGCCCCTACCCCAACTAGCCATTTCACAAGTACACTCCTTTGCCAGCTTGAGAAAAGGTCAGCAGTAGACATGGCTTAGTAAATTCTGTTATTCTAGCTAATAGCCCAGAGAATAAAGTTCACCGCCAGAGGTTCAGTTCCCAGAAGGGTGACATTATCATTAAAATCTTAAGTGCTAGAGATTACTTCAGAAGTATCTCACCTCAGCTAATACAGACATCACAACATGTCAGTTACTTACTTTTTCTTTCAGTACTTCCTGAGATCTGGAATGTCCTACATCAACAGCCTGTTCCACTGTGGAATGGCACTAATTGTTCTTTCTTCTGATTTCTAATAAATTCTATCTGTAAGCAATCTTCTGCTTATAGATGAAAAATGAACTATCTCCAGTTATTTCAACAATACCCATGGCAATTTCCAAATACTGCATCATAGTTGGACACTTTGGAGAGACACCACCTTTCTACCAACTCATTCAACTAACATTTATTGCTCACACACACTCACTGCCATTGAATCCATTCCAACTCATAGCGACCCCCTTTGGGTTTCCGAGGCAGTAGATCTTTACAGAACTTGACTGCCCAGTCTTTCCTTCTGTGGAGTGGCTGGTGGATTTGAACCGCCAACCTTCTGGTTAACAGTCAAATGCCTCAGGCCCTACGCCACCAGAGCGCAATACATTTATTGCTAGAGAACTTAAATAAGAATAAGGTTACCATTCAAAAATAAAATAAGGGGGAAATAAAAAGCAACCCTTTCAATTATCACTACCAATATATGACCTCAAGATAGTATATCTTCATGACGATACAAAGCTATGGCCTTGTCAACCTAGTCTGAAGGAACAATGTGTACAAAAGGTAATGGCTGACTTGGGTCTAGAAAAGAGGAGGGAGGCCAATGACAGACTTGCTCTTGTGTTTCCAGCACCATCTAAAAGCAAGGAGAGTTGTTTCTGGACCATTAACAGATGAAAGTAGATGCCTCAGCCTATCACAAATTAGTGTGATTATTCAACTTTTTCTATTTTTTTATTTAAACAACAACAACAACAACTGTTTGTGATTTGAGTGCCTACTTACAAGGATCTATAGAGAGGACAGACTAACCACTAAGGTGCCTAATACACATTTCAAACTTAAAATGTACCTCTTAATAGTCACCCTGCAAACTTGCTCCATCCAGTTCCCCCTTGTTGTTTAATGACAGCTTCATCATTCCAGTACCCAGGAAAAAACCTTAGCCATCTTGACTGTTCTCTCATACTCCACATCCAATTTAGCAGCATTACCTATTGACTCTAGCTTCAAAATATTCAGAATCTAAACGTTTCTCATCACCTCCACCATTACCATGCTAGTTCTAACCCCCTAACTAGTCTCCCTACTTTGGCTTTCCACTCCCACAACACACCCAGCTGTAGACAATCTCAACACTCAACCAGGGTGATACTATTAAAATATACATTAGATCAAGTCTTTCCTCTGCTCAAATCCTCTCCCCAAATGGCTTCTTATCCCATTCAGAATAAAAGCCAAAGTAATTTCAATGGCCTTTCAGACCTGATATAATCTGACTTCTTGGACCTCATGACTTTCTATTCTTCTTCTTTCTTACTCCATTCTATACCAGTTGATCTCTCCACTCTGACCTCAGAGACTTTGAACCTGCTGTTCCTCTCTATGTGGATACTCTTCCTCCTGATGGCTATGTAGTTGCTCCTTCATCTTTTGAACTAAGCCTTCCCAGACCATACCATTCATACCACATATGACCTTCTAAACATACTATATCATTAACTTACTTATTTCTTTTGTTAGCTATCTCCTCATGCTAAATGTAAACTTCTTGAAGGCAGGGATTTTTGTCTGTTTTGTATCCCCAATGCCTGAAACAGTGCCTAGGATATGGTTAGATTTTCAATAAATATTGTTGATGAATGAATGAGCAAAAAACTTGGAAGTCTAATCTCCATGGCAGTTAAAATACTCATCGGAAATTAATGAACTGACACTGTCATTTATACTTGTGTCTTTTGAGTTTGGTGAACATTCAGCAGTCTTCAAAGGCTGACTATTTCTAGTTTGTCACATCTCTTTAAAATAGGGCACTCCAAACTGAACACCATTTGGTATGTTGGGCCTATTACCCTTTTTGAGCTGAATAAAGTACTTTCATTATAAAGCCGAAGATAGTAAGCATATGTTTCAGCTGTGTCTCAGTGCTAACAAACATCAGATAGCAATAAAAACCATGTCTTTTCCAAGTGAACTTTTTAATATTTTCTAGTAGCATCACCACTTCTGCAATTTATTTTTTGAGCAAACATTAGATTGTAAAATTCTATCTTACTAATTTCAGTTCATCATCCAGCAGAGTTTTGCAGGTTTTAAATCTAGAGTTATTTACCCAGTGTTATACTGCTCCAGATACACATATTATTAACCAGGACAGAGGCTGCAACACCCTGCTATAGGCTAGCCCTGAAGTTACTAGCCCAATTCTTGGGATAGACTACTCAACCAGTTGTGACTTCACCTAAATTAAGTTTTATTTAGCCTAAATTTCTCATGGGAAAATTATGCAGAGCCGGGCAGCGCTTTGTTCTATTGTACATGAAGTTGCTATGAGTCGGAGCCAACTCGACGGCACCTAACAACAAATTTTATCTATTAATTTCTCTTTGTCCCACCAAACTAGAAACCTCTTCACAGAAAGGGAGTAAGGCTTAATCAGCATTATATTCTTAGGGAACCAATTCTGGCTCCCAAAACTCCATCAAAGCTCTCTTTCATCATGGGTTCTAAAAAAATCTATGGTTTAAATCGTTTAGAAACTTATCTAGAGATAGACATTAATTGAACAGTGGGTCCAAATGTTAATCTGGAGAAAATACAATATACCATAGTGTTTGAAAGTCTGGAACACACACAAAAAATAGTATATTTATTCTTTTTTCCTTCAGGTCAACAACTGGACTCATTGCTTTAGATTTATAAGTATATTACCTAAAAACATGTCTGGAGGTTGGAATAAAAAAAATTGAGCATATAATTTGGAAGTATGAATAAGAAAATGTTTGTTCTGTGTGTCCTACTTTTTTTGGACACCCTGTACCTTCTCCTTCCCATCTGCCAGTCTTCAGATTTCTGGCACCTCTCCTTTTTCCATAAGGATCAAAGATTATCATCTTGAGACAACTGACATGGGCCTAGAGTTTTGAAGGCATGTGGGTTTTTAATTTCTCTTCTCAAGAGTTCTTTTTCACTAGGAAGGTATTTCCCTCAATGTTGCATTAATAGTCCTTCCATTTTCCTTTCCTTTGGGCTTTATCTAAATCCACAGGCTTTTCTTAGCTCTCCAGTCTAAAAAATACCCCCGACATGGTGATGCTGCTAGGTAACGACAGTGATAGCTACCTATATACATATGAGTGTGTATATGTATTAATATATATGTAGGCATCTTGTCATTTCATAGAATATAATTATCTATGAATGGGAGAATGATCAGAACAAATGAAGTAGGAGGAAAAACAATACATCCATTACTAGACTAAAGAAGAAAAAAACAGCGCAGAGGAAGTCAGTTGGCAAAAATGAGTATGGAAGTGCGAGGATGGAGGAGTTTGTGCTGTTCATTACAAACTGCCTTAAAAAGAGAAGTTGCAGAGTAATAATGAGCTAAGGTCTAGTATACATGAATCATTGGAGTACCAACATCATGACATACATGCTAGTAAAACTGACTCCTTGATAGACTTGACCAACTTAACATAAGATTTGTCAGTTTCCAAGGGACAGGAACTTTGCCTTGCTCTCCTAGAAATGGACCAAGAAGGTCCATTTTTGTTTATTTTAAGAACTTACTGGAAGAAATAGGTAAATAATTTAAGCATTAAATGGTTGCCTCTCCTAAGGCAAATATTACATAGTTTTATTTAGTCATTGCCACTCATTATACTAATATTTGAATGTCAAATGTTCTACTAATAGGAGATTCAGTAGTAAACAAAATGGACAAAACCCCTTCCTATGGAACTTACATTCTCTGGGTAGATACAGTCAGTAAATAAACAAGTAAACTATATGGTATGCCAGATACGGAGTGCATGTGGGTATGAAGTATGCCCGTGCTTAGAGAAAAATAAAGCAGAGAAGACAGCAGCAGCAGTATTGGGAGCCTGTTTACTCTTTTATTATTTATTTTATTCAGGGAAGGCCTCACTGATAAAATAATATTTGAGAAGAAATTGGAAAATGGTAAGGATGATAATGTGATAATTTGGGGAAAAAGCATTCCTGGAAGAGGGAACAGCAAGTGTAAAGGATATGAGGAGAAAAACTAGTCAAGAATAACTCTGAGAGTTCTGGCCTGAGGCAAAGGAAGGAAGCA